TATAGATAGATAGATAGATAGATAGATAGATAGATAGATAGATAGATAGATAGATAGATAGATAGATAGATAGATATGGGGATGGACTTCAGTACAAGATCCTGTAAATGGCCATTTGGGTGCCATATCTTCCCACATTGACTGTGGGAATGTCCACTGAGATTCAGCCTTGTCTACCACACAGAGGTTGACTGATTGATTGATGTTCATTTGGTTGAACTTATATGCCTTGCCTTGTAAACTTTAGGCAGCTTACAATCAGTAAAAACAACACGAGAAAACATGAAAACAAACAAAATATTAACTCCAAGGATACTGTACACCAGAGAAAATCACAAGGACAATTTTCTATTAAAAATAGAATAAATGGAGGGTTTCCCCTTGTTACTGGGAACTAGGATTGTGTTTTTTTGCAACAAGTGTATAAAATTAGAAGATTGCTTGGCAATTATTTGCATTTAATGAAGAAACACCAGGGCTGGGATTTTGTAGGCAGATCGAGGGCTTTTGTGAGTGATGCATATATATTTTTTGTCAGAATCATTGAATAACAACAAACTCACAGATGGTGCTTGTTTGACAAATAGTGGCATTGTTCACATTATTATTCCAAAACATTGTTTTCTAAAGGCTTGCTTTATAAATGCAGATGTTACTAGAGCAGATAAGAGTAAGTCTCCTAAATGTCAACGTGTCAGAGTTCATCTTATTCAAAGGTCCCTAATCACCACTGCATACTGTGTCTCTTCTCCAAGGTTGTATGGATTTGATGAAGACACAAAGCCCAAAACTACCTTAGGAAGTGCTCTTTTATGTGACGGCTTCCTTCTTTCCTTCCTTTCTTCCTTCCTTCCTTCCATCCTTCCTTCCTTCCTCCCTCCCTCTCCTTCCCTCAATTCTCCTTCCTTCCTTCCTTCTTTCCTCCATCTATTCTCCTCCCTCCCTCCTTCCCTTCCTTCTATTCTCCTCCCTCCCTCCCTCTCCCTCCCTCTATTCTCCTTCCTTCCTTCCCCTCCCTCCATCCTTCCCTCCCCCTCCCTCTCTCTCCCTGTCGTTCCCTACCTTACTCTACCCTACCCTTCTTCACTAATCCCTTCCCTTCTTCATCAATTTCCTTTTTAAAGAAATATTGCCAGTAAAGGTAACAATAAATCAGTCCTCAATCTGAATTTTTTTTTTTTTTTTGTACCACAACACTCATCAGTCCTAGCTACCATGGCTAATTCCCAGGGATCGTGGCCCAGTTATCACTCGTAATGTATTATTGATTACGGTTCTAGTGTCTCAGCTTTTACTCTTTGATTTGCGTTTGATAGGAAGGCAGGATTTAAAGGACCATCGGTCATACATAAAAACAAATCCGTGTGTCCCAATATTTCCCCAACCTCCCTCTGGCTTTTGACGTAACTCTTGAGAAGTGGATATAACGAAAGCCATGGAAACTGCAGCTGGGCTGAATGTAAATGTTTTGGTGTTATTGGCAGAAAGAAAAACAAATCCTATCTCTCTATAAATCTTATAAATACATCCTTGAGAAAGTGTTGGTCTTGAAATTCACCAGGAAGGAAGGACTCTTCCTTAATCCATACAGTTCTTTGCTTGCCTATTTTGTTTTACGTCTTGTAGCTGTGTGATGACCTGCCTTTTGTGTGCATTACTTTAGAACTATACTTGGAAATGCTTGTTAAGCAGGGAAAGAAGAAAAGATAGAAGATTTTCCTTTCGTGGATCAATATTGTGGGGAGCCTCCTAAAACCTGGCTGCTCAGGGAAATTCTGCAAACAAAACCTGGAGGGCTTCTGTCCTTTGGGAATTGGGATCCTGCCTTCCAGCATTTCCCCCCATTGAATGGGTTTAGATTCTCTTTTTAATTATTGTTATTCCAGTGCTAAAGTTGTCTCTGCTATCAAAGTTACAGAAGTTGCTAAAGAGAATCGTGGAAAAAAAAAAAAACAGAATTTGGAAACTTTTGGTGGTTACCAAACAGAAAAAAAGCCTTCTTTGGACATGGAGGCAATGATTATTTTCCAGCAACACTACATTAAGTTTCCATACTTTTTCCCCCTCTTAAATTGTTGGTGGTTAAGCTAATAAGATAGGTTATTAAAAGGCCAACCCTGGCTGAGTTTATAGCCCAAAGTTGCTTCCCTAGCAAATGAATATGTCTCTCTAAGCAGCCTCGGTTCCCCTTTCATTCTCCAAAGTAAAGCTGCTTTTAAAAAAAAGTCTTGGAACTCCAGTGCTGGGTACATTCAGACATGCATTTTAACTAGCATTGCTGGAATAGTCCTCAGGAAATGTGGCTGGAAGGCTGAGGAAACCCATTCTCAAATCAGTAGCAATCGAAAAATCAACGAGTGACATCCATTGCAACCTAACCAGCCACAGCACCTTATGGTGGGTGGATGTAACACAATTAGCTTCAAATTTTTGAAAAAACTACAACAACAGCCTGGTAAAGGTCCAGGCTGGATATTGACTGGAGTTGTGTTTCTCAACATCGGGAATTTTAAGACAGGTGGACTTCAGTTCCCAAAATTCCCCCAATAGTTTGCATGAGTTCTTCCTACTGTCCTTCCTACTGCTGTTGAAACTTTCAAAAGCTTTCAAAAATTCTGTATCTAGAGAGAGAAAAAAGAAAGGGGGGAAAACCCCATTGTCAACTTGTTTGCATGTAAATCATATGTTAATTTACAACTATTTACAAAGTCTGCACTACTATTACTATTCATCTTCTCATCCCTCCTTATCACCCATCCCCTCCCACTTGTGACTGTATGACTGTAACTTTGTCGCTTATATCCTTATGATCTATATTGACTGTTTCCTAGTATGATTTGATTGCTCATTGTACCCTATGACTATCATTAAGTGTTGTACCTTGTGATTCTTGATGCTTGATGAATGTATCTTTTCTTTTATGTATACTGAGAGCATTTGCACCCAAGACAAATTCCTTGTGTGTCCAATCACACTTGGCCAATAAATAATTCTGTTCTGTTCTGTTCTATTCTATTCTTGATTCTATTCTATTCTCTGTTCTGTTCTGTTCTGTTCTGTTCTGTTCTATTCTTGATTCTATCTTATTCTTGATTCTACTCTACTCTATTCTTGATTCTATTCTATTCTATTCTTGATTCTACTCTATTCTATTCTTGATTCTATTCTATTCTCTATTCTCTATTCTCTATTCTCTATTCTCTATTCTCTATTCTCTATTCTCTATTCTCTATTCTGTTCTGTTCTGTTCTGTTCTGTTCTATTCTTTATTCTATTCTATTCTACTCTATTAATCATGGACTCTTCAGAATGAGATACAGAGAATCCTTGACAAACAACCAGAATTGAGCCCCACATTTTTGTTGTTAAGCGAGACACGTGAACTTTGCCACATTTTACTATCTTTCTTGCCTCAATTGTTAAGTGAATCACTGCAGAGTAAGTGATTGGTTAAGGGAATTCTAGCTTCCCCATTGACTTTGCTGCTCAAAAGGTTGCAAAAAGGAAATCGCATGACTCCGGGACATTGCAGCCATCATAACTATGAACCAAGCACTTGAATTTTGATCACGTGACCATGGCAATGCTGCAAAGGTCGTAAGTGTGAAAAGCGGCCATAAGTCACTTTTCTCGGTGCCGTGGTAATGTTGCATGATCACTAAACGAACTGTTGTGTGCCAAGAACTACTGGTATATGTCACACAATGTCTCATCTCTAGTATCCGGTTGCCAACTTGGAAACAAATCGCCAAAGTTTTAATGGCACGCTTCTTGTCCTGCAGCTCTTTTCACCATGGGTGGAAACTCGGATGGGCAACCGTGCAAATTCCCCTTCCTGTTTGAGGGAAGATCCTTTGATGGCTGCACCACAGAAGGAAGACAAGATGGGTATAGATGGTGTGGCACTACCGAAAATTACGACCAGGATAAGAAATTTGGATTTTGTCCAGAGACAGGTAAGAAGATCTTTCCTACAATTGTCATGAGTTTGTTCAAAGGAAAAAAAACAAAACATCTCCCACCCTTTTCTTCAGTGTCATCAGACCCAAATTACAGGCTTCCAGAAATCAAAGCAATAATTCATAATAATTACAACAAAACTTCTAAATGATGAAGCAAGAATTTGATAGTATAGTATTAACCATTCCTGCTTTTATTGGTTAATTTTTTTTAAATGCAGCAATGTCTACCGTGGGTGGAAACTCTGAAGGACAGCCGTGTGTTTTTCCTTTTATATTCCTTGGGAATAAATATGATTCTTGTACTACTTCGGGACGGCAAGATGGGAAGATGTGGTGCTCTACATCTAGTAACTATGACGAAGATCGCAAATGGGGATTTTGTCCGGATCAAGGTAGAGATTTTTCTCCTCCTCTTCCTCCTCCTTGTAAATGTTACTGCATTTCTTCCAGTTCTTCAAGATATCAAAAAACAAGGAATGCACCACAGTTGTAATGGACCAAAATAAAGATTAAAGAATAAAAAAAAAAAAAACATAGTTCTTACAAAACAGCCCACTCTTGCATCATTTTTTGTTATGGTTCAAAGCTAGCAAAATAGGCTAAAGTTTTAGTATTGCATCTCAAGATGTCCTTAGTGAATCAAAACAATTCGCTTACAGGCTTCCCTCATTCTCAGAAATATAACTGAGATCATCAAATGTCCAGAAACAATTGCAACCCTCCAAAAAAAAAAAAAACCATCCTAAGAAACTCACAAATGAGTCAACTGTGAAGTCAATTGTAAATCATTCCTTCTCACAAAATTTCCCAACAGCTGGATCAGGGATGTTTGAACGTGGCTGAAAAGTAGAGTTTAGATTTGTTTTTGTAATTCATTTGGATTTTACAGTGCTCAGTATATTTTATTAGCTCAGTTTTAGATAGTCTTGGTTTATGACTTCGTACAAGTGATACCAACTATGGCTTGTCGGCGAAACATGGCTTAACATGAAAAACATACAAGTTGTTTGGTGGTTACGCTATTTTTTTTTAGTGGTTTAGGTGGGCTTGGTTAAAAATTAACCAGGGTGGAAAGTATTTGGTCAGGGGTGACAATCCCAAGGATCTGGTATTCAGCCAAAGGTTGGAACAAATTCTACAAATGTGCAACCGTACACATATACAATGCTTTGTCCAAGGTTGTATGCAAGAATAGTCTTTAAGTTTCTCCAGTACCTTCCTATCTATCAAGTGACAAAAAGGCTGAAATGTTAGAAATAGTAAACTGAAAATTTGATATTGGTCATAGGTCTTTCTCTGTTAGATTCATTTACACCATTAGAATATAACCGAATATCGTGCATTCGGTCCTGTAACTCTGAGCAGTTAAATTATATAGAAATGAGCGACATCATCCAAACATCGTGGACCATCAGTCAGAGCAATGGTTACATCTTCTGTCTTGGATGTCTTCAAGGCCCCTGAAACTGCTTTTGTACAATGGGTAGATTGACCTCACACAAAGAGATATGTATGGACAATACCATCGAGCAACCATAAAAATCTGATTTATTTTCTTCCAGGGTACAGTCTTTTCTTGGTGGCTGCTCATGAATTTGGCCATGCAATGGGACTCGAACATTCTGAAGATCCTGGCGCACTCATGGCCCCCATCTACACCTATACCAAGCACTTCCGTCTTTCTCAAGATGACGTTCAAGGAATCCAAGAACTTTATGGTAAAGTTTCCAGTTGGTTCAAACTTATCCGAAACATTGGAGTCCATATCATTATTAATCTTGGTGTTCAAGCTTCTCCAGGAGAACCTAAAATGGTAGAATAATCTGGTGAACCATTAGAAGGAAGCCAGATGCCCTGTTCTTTTTCTTTCCATCTTTTATATTATCTAACACTATTTTTTTTTTTTTTGCATTACGAGGGGAAAAAAGCAGAATAAAGAATTCCTGATATTACTTCCCTTTCTGATTTCTAAGCTTAAAAGAATGTCCAGATTATTGTTGACTTTTTCTTGATTTTCAGGGGGTTCTACTGATGTTGGGCCAGGACCAAAGCCAACCCTTGGACCTGTCACTCCTGAACTTTGTGGCCAAGATCTTGTCTTTGATGCTGTGGCTCAAATGAGGGGTGAAATCTTTTTCTTCAAAGACAGGTGAGTGGGGAGGTCAGTGTCATGGCCCTGTTGTGGAGTGTGGCTCTGTTGGCTGTGGAAGAAACTGGGGAAGGGCAAAGTCCAGCTGGGCAGAGCAGGGAAGAGATAGGACAAGGGAGAGCAATTTCAGAGGAAGACCCAGGCCAACTCCTTCTTCATCCTAGGGCACACAGGGAGGAATGGAGAAGAGAGCAACATGGGTTGCATGGCTTATGGGGGAGGAGTGGGCCCTGATTCCCTTTATTAGCTGCAGCTGGGAACACAGTGTATAAAAAATGCAAGCTGCATGTAGCTGGCTGTTGGGAGCAAACATGACTTTATCTCGTATCGTCGTGGCTTATCTGGGTTCCTGATGTCTTCCCAACTGTGTGAGTTTTGCCATGCTTTCAAGTCTGAAATTCCTGCTCCTGTCCTGCCAAACTAATTACTTCAGTTTGGTTTGTTTGGATTTTAAGTTCAGTTTGTATTGACCATGTTTTGGACTGAATTGTCTACAGTCAAAGGCTGTTCCTGGGAGAGTTTTTCTCCAGCCAAAGGTAACCTGGACACTGGGGGCAAAGTTGGAGATAATAAAGGGACTCTTATTGCTTATCTGACTGTGTTGCCTTTGTGCCACACCCCTTTGGGTCATCACAGCCAGAAAAGGGTCTATTTGGTATTTATCTCTTCATTTGCTCTCCAGAAAATTAGGGAGGGTCCCTTCTTTTTCTCACACTTTTTTGTGGCCGGAGGCAAATTTTACATGCTGGTTGTCCGGTCTGTAAGCTTTTCTTCCTGTCTCACAAGGCCATTCCTACATACCATTACAGGTAGCCCTACCATTCCCTTATTGACTGTTCAAAGTTACAACGGCACTGAAAAAAAAGTGACCTAGGATAGTTTTTCACACTTACATCGGTTGCAGCCTCTCCATCTAAATTAAGACGCTTGGCCATTGGCTCATATTTATGATGACTGACAGTGTCCCAGGGGCACGAGATCCTCTTTTGCAACTGTCTGACAAGGCAACGGGGAAGCCAGATTCACTGAACAACCGTGTTGCTAACTTAACAACTGGGGAGATTCAATTCACTTAACGGTGGGAAGAAATGTCATAAAATAGAGCAAAGCTCACTTAACAACTGTCTCACTGAGCAACAGAAATTTTGGGCTGCGTTGTAATCATAAGTTGAGGTGTACCTGCGCAAGGAGCCACACTTTGTGTGGTAAGAGCTGGGTCTAAACCATGTTCTATTCTCTAATGAGAGCCACAACCGTTGTGTTTGTGGAACCAGCTAAGCTTTGGTTATTTGGGAGAACAGTTTAGGGAGTGGTGTGGCCTAGTGGTGGAGTTCTCATCTCACAATCAGGAGGCTGTGAGTTCGATCCTGGGTAGAGGCAGATATTTCTCTCTCTGGGTCCACACTGAGAATATATCTGCTGGGGAAAAAACTCTGCATTGGCAACAGGAAGGGCATCCAGCCCTTAAAACACTCTGCCAGCTCCATTCAGTTGTCCCGACTCCACCCTGCAAGGGATTATGGGGTTATTAAATGAAAATGATGAGTTTAGTTTTGGATTCAAGACAGTATAATAATACGCACAATGAAAAAGTGCTTAGAAGAAACAACCAAGTTTAACATGTGAATCGGAGCGACGTGTTGAAAATGACACCTGGGCTCGTGCCACTATTACGAGCTATAAAGCTGCGTTTTTTTCCCCCCTCACACAACTTGAAGAGCCAGCTCTCATTTAAAAACAGGAAAGAAAAAAAAAGAAAGAAAGATAATGCAACTAAAAAGCCTAATCTGACAAGCCATTTGCTCAACATCTATCAAATGGCAGCCTTGTCTGACTTATTATACGGCATTTCCAGACTCTGGAGTTCTTTAAACAAAATGAACTGCTCATCAGAGATGGAGGGAGGGGTAAAAAAAAGATTACACAATAACGTTTTTATTAACATCCTGTCCCATAATTTCCTACATACTGCTGCTGAAATCAAACCAGAGTTAAGGTTTTTTATTTTATTTTGCAACGTTCATAAATCGAAAGAGGATATCAGCTCAACAGCTTCCAAATTGCTCTTTTCGTTCTTCTGATGAACAGTTAATGTTCCCTGGTTTCATTTACAGCCAAGCTGTTTGATTGATGATTATTAGATTTGATCTTTTTTAGTTGCTACGATCATAATCTTCCAGAGTAATGGAATACTATACAAAGGTTGGCTTTTGCCAAACGCGTATCCATCTGTTCAGCGTACAGCGCAGGAGAAGGCAGAAAGAGTTTTAAGTGCCTTGTAAATGAATTTATTTGCTAGGATAATTGAAGCACCCACTATTCCGTCATTCTTTCTTGCTTTGTTGTTGTTGTTGTTGTTCTTTGCTAAGGATTAATGTGAGTGCTGGAGAAAATTGTTATAAATGGCAAACATCTGGGCACAACACATTTTAAAAAAAATCATGGGATTAGCCCCACCAATAAAAGATTGATGCACTGAATAATAACAAAGCTCCCTTATAATTTAATGTTTATGTTACTAGTAGAATGTAAGCATTGGTGTGTGTGTGTGTGTGTGTGTGTGCGTGAATACACTTTGCTCAATTTGCTTAAAAAGCACATTGGCCAATAAAGTTTCTTGTCATTTTTTTGGCTAGATTCTTCTGGAGAACAGCTAATGAACGGAGCCGACCAACCGGACCTTTGCTCATTGCTGTTTTTTGGACTGACCTTCCAGAAAAAATTGATGCTGTCTACGAAGCCCCTCAGGAAGAGAAGTCAGTATTTTTTTCAGGTAGGATTTGGGCTAAAATCATCTATACACAAAAACGCACACGGACTTCTGTCAAGCCAACTGCTCCAGCTAGATGTTCTTCAGAAGATTTGGCCTCCAAGTTCCAGAATTTAGAACCAGGAAGATGTTCTAATGTCACATCGTTGCTTTGTCCATGTTTATTTTATGGTAGGAAGAAGGAAGCAATTATATTTCTTTAGAGTTGCCCCATTTTTGAAGACGCTGGAATGGATTTCCTGCAGAAGTTGTGAATGATCCATCATTGGAGGTTTTTGGACAGACATTTGTCTGGAGTAGCATAGGTTCTCCTGCCATGAGCAGAAGGTTGGATTAGATGACTTCCAAGGTCCCTTCCAACTCTGTTATTCTGTATTCTGGTTTGAGCAAAACATGGTTATTTTTCAAAATTTGCCCTGCTTTGAATTTTGCAAGGCTGAGTTTCAGTTAGAAACAATCCAACCTTCCCCCATTTCCATATTTTAGAGAAAAATCTTTGCAAAGGAATGGAAAGGTTTTGTATAATAAACTATACAGTGGTTGTTTTAAAAAGGGTGTTGTTGAAACTGGCACAAAATTGCATTCATGTTTGAGTGCAAAGTGTTTTTATATGAAAATAGACTTTTTGTATATGTTGGACTGTTATGACATGCGATGAACCAAATGTTCAACCACTCCAAAACGAGAAATGGAATCGAAATGAAACTTCATCTCTTTGCAGACGATTTATTTTCATGCAGCCATGCCAGTTGATCTGGGAAAATGGTTTTCAGTGGTTGCCTCAACCAAACAAAAATGAATAGCAATTCTTTTTTGGCTCTGATTACTACACAACAACCCACAATCAACACAAGAGAGTGAAGGGAAACAAAACAAGTGGATGTGCAGTTAAATTTATTTAAAGGAGTTGGGGGGTGGTGGGAATCTTGCAAAGTGATTTTTTGATAGCTGAACAGCATTTTAATCATTATTGTGTATCATATTACATGATAACTGGGTATAGCCTAAACATTTTATAAGCCCATCCTTTATAGTCTCATGTCCTAAGGGTTTTAGAAGGAAGAAAGATTTATCTACTATTTATTTATTACTTATTAAATGTATTGGCTAATTAAATTTAGATAGTTGGGGGCAGTGTTTCTCCACCGTGGCAGCTTGAAGAATACTGCATCCAGGTTTGGTCACCTGATTATAACAAAAGAGGTTGAGACTTTGGCAAGAGTGCAGAGAAGAGCAAGTAACATGATTAAAGGCCTGGAGACAAAAACATATGAAAAATGGTTGCAGGAGTTGGGTATGGCTAATTTAGAGAAAAGAAGGATTAGGGGGCACATGATAGCAATGCTCCAGTATCTGAGGGGCTGCCACAAAGAAGACAGGGTCAGCCTATTTTCCAGAGGACCAGAAGATAAACCAAGAAATAATGGATGGAGACTAATCAAGGAGAGAAGCAACCTAGAACTAAGGAGTAACTTCCTAATAGTGAGGACCATTAACCAGTGGGACAGGGTAGCCTCTTCCTTGTGGCAGTTCCTCAAATATTGGAACACTGCTATCATGTCGCCCTTAGTTCTTCTTTTCATTTGATGAGTTTGACATACACACACACACACACACACACACACACACACACACACAATCTCAGCTTGGTCACCTCTTACAACCCAATCTGAACAAGGCTTCATGTCATCTCCTAGTCAGACCCACAGCCTCTAATTGCACAAAACAGGCAACAACAGAAAGGAACAAACCAAGCAGGAGAACGCTTTCATATATAACGCACGATTTTGTTACATGTAGAGACAATGTTAAAGGGTAGGGGGTTAATTTTGAAATGGAGTGTTTGGCCTGTCCTAATTTACCTCCCTAATATATTTAATGTAGCTTTGCTGCCTGAAATCCAAGACCCTTTGATTGAGAAAACCCTTTTTCTCCTTCTCCTTAATCCCCTTGACGCTTGATTTTCCTAGGAAACGAATACTGGGTTTATACCGCCAGCACCTTGGAAAGAGGCTATCCAAAGAGACTTACCAGCCTCGGGCTGCCTCCTGACGTGCAACGTGTCAATGCTGCATTTAACTGGAGCAAAAACAAGAAGACATACATCTTTGCAGGAGACAAATTTTGGAGGTAAGGAATCCTGCAACCCCAACGCCGGGATACCACGGCGCTAGGAAGTTAGGAACATCACACAGATTCACACACACTCTTAACACCTTGTTTCCAATGTCCAAGTAAGTTCAGAAGGTAGAATGTAGAATTCTTTATTGGCCCAGGCTGATTGGACCCCCAAGGAATTTGTCACCTCTGGTGCATAAGCTCTCAGTGTACATACAAGCAACAAGCGATAAATCATGATCCCCATCATAAAATACAATCATCATATATCATAAGATCCAATAGTGGGTGATAGTCGTAGGGCACTAAAAAAGCAATCAACATCCATCATAAAAGGATACTAAATAAAGGCAGTCAACATAAATCATGTGATACAAACCACAAAGCTAGTCATAAGAAGCTAAGGAAATAGGTAATAGGAAAGATGAGAAGATGAGAAGGATAATAGGTGAGGAAGGAACATGTGTTTTTTGTTCCTGTGCATTTTACAGATACAATGAAGTGAAGAAGAAAATGGATCCTGGCTTCCCTAAATTAATTGCAGATGCCTGGAATGGCGTCCCAGATAATTTAGATGCTGCCCTGGAAGTCAGCGGAAGTGGTAAGCTGCTATTTGTTTTCTAAGATATTTTATATATATAATCTGGAAGCGGGGAGATTGATTACAGTACTTCAGCCTGCTCCTGCATTATTTTTGGAGACATTGTCTGCTGCCCTGGTCGCTGAATAGGACGACAACTTTGGCAATCTGCCGGCTGCCACAGTAAATTTCTCTCTTCGGTGAAAATCTCCCACCGCTGTAAGGAAATTTAGGAAGGGTGACCTTTGCTGAACTTCGCTGGGCTGTCTGAATAACTCGTCTCCAGCAGAGTAATCCTAACCCCCTTTTTAATGCAGCCCAGATTCTGATTAAAGAATCCTGCCTTTATTAGTAGACGAGGGGAAGAAAATCTCCTTTGAACTGAATCTCCTAAACGGCTGAGAACTTTTCACAGGGGTTGAGTTGGGAAAGAGGGGTGGAAGCTCAGATTCAAGCTTTTAACTCTCTGTGCCCATCTTTTCCTTTTTTTAAAAAAAAAAATGGCATGCTTGAAAAGAAGAAGAGAAGGGGAAAAAAAATTCCAGTAACATGATTCTTACTGGCCTTTTGAAAGAATAGTCTTCACTCGGTCAAGTTTTTTCAGTTCCAACAGACCAATTCCGCTAAGTCCTCATTTATGGATTATGTGTAGAGTTGGAGATGGCCTAGCCATCAATCGTAGCAAAAAATCTTCTACACCCACACCCCAGAGCACAATCATAAAAAGATGCAGCTTTTATACCTTTTGTGGCCTCTAATATCAATTTCTAGAATGGATCAGGAGAAAAACTTTCTTGGGGTGAAGGTTAGAGGAACTGGGAGTGGTGGACAAAGTTTGATATTTTAAATCATGCAAGTTTTGCTGAACTTTATGCCCCAAATCGTCCTACTTGTAAAAGGTGACTTTCAACAAGCCACAAAAACAAGTTCTTTCAGCCATGGTGGCACAGTGGTTAGAGTGCAGTACTGCAGGCTACTTCTGCTGACTGCTGACTGCCTGCAATTTGGTAGTTCGAATCTCACCAGGCTCAAGGTGGACTCAGCCTTCCATCCTTCCAAGGTGGGTAAAATGAGGAGCCAAATTGTTGGGGGCAATAGGCTGACTCTGTAAACCGCTTAGAGAGGGCTGTAAAAGCACTGTAAAGCGGTCTATAAGTCTAAGTGCTATTGCTATTGCTGAGCATGGGCTCCAATTCGAGCGTACAAACCCAACATCATCTCACCTCCATCTGTGAATCGTAGCATCATAGTAAGCCAAACCGTGGTTTATTTTTGGAGGACTATAAATACAACCGTTGCTTATCTGAGTTCCCTATGAGGTTGAAGGTTTGTTCTCTAAGCTTTCTGAATGTTTCGTTATCAGGATAAACTTCAGCGGAGTTTAGGGGATGTCAGTGTTCTGCTTCTAAGAACTTCAGGTGTGGGGTATCAAGTGAGGGTCTGGTGATGGGTCAGGTGGGAGTTATCAGTGAGTCTTGTAATGGGTCTTATGATGGGGAAGTTACATTGGGAGCAGTGGTGGGATTCACATTTTTTTACCTCCAGTTCTGTGAGCGTGCCTTGGTGGGTGTGGTGTGGCTTGGTGGGCATGGCAGGGGAAGGATACTGCAAAATCCCCATTCCCTCCCCACCCCACTAACCTGCTTTCCAGCTCAGTTCTCCTGTGCAGGGAAACGAAAAAAAGACCCAGCCAATCAGCTGGGACTTGGGAGGCAGAGAAGAGATGGGGTTGGCGAGGCCAGTCAGAGGTGGGATTTGCCAGTTCTCCAAACTATTCGAAATTTCCACTACCAGTTCTCCAGAAATGGTCAGAACCCGCTGAATACCACCTCTGATTGGGAGGTGAACTGTTGGCGGGGCTTGGTTGAGGGATGGTGCTATCTCTGGTTGGCTGGTTTCAGGCCAATATGTCTGTTGATAGCATTGTTTGTGGAGTACCATGCTTCGGGGAACACATGAGCATGGCCAATAGTTTTTGTGTTGCTCCAATCAAACCCAACCACTGAGCTGACTACCAGGTGATGTAGACACCTATTCTAGTGAGTCCCACAACTGTGATTTTATGTATGTTTGTTAAGGGTTGTTTTCTCCTTGCAGGCCACAGCTACTTTTTCAAGGACTGGTACTACCTGAAACTGGAAGATCAAAGCTTAAAGATTGTGAAAGTCGGCAATGTGAAATCAGACTGGCTGGGTTGCTGAGCAAAGCACATCCCTTCCTAACCAACCATGTATATCTGTTTTGATGTGTAAGAGTCCTATGTCTTACCCCACCATTAGAAATAGAGCTATATCCTAATTCAGGGGCTTGTCTGGTACCAGCCCAACCTATTCAATACCACTACTTGATACAACGGTTTCAGATCTGAGAAAGCACAGTGACTTGGAAGCAAGTCCCATCAAATCCTTCCTTCTCAAAACCTTTAGTACTCAGAATTCCTAGATCTGACATTTCTTCTCCCTTCATGCCAAAATTTAAGCCATATAGACCTGATATTATGGTTCAGTATTCCCTGCTAAGACACCATAACAACCATCTTGTTCCCATTTTTGAAAACATCATTAGCAAACCGTATGCGGAGATCAACATATACCCCTAAATGTAGATAGTTAGCATGCCAGGAAGTTGATGGCGTCAACGTTGACTCCCTACATGCCACTCTTCTAAATTTAGAGAGAAGAAAAATTGAGAGTTTAGGCTTTTTTTATTATTATTACAGCCTGGAAGAATCAAATCCAGCAATATACAGACCTTGTTCTTTCCTGTCAGGTTGGACATGAAATGAAATTATACCTGCATCCCAAATCTTGAAAAAGGTCCAATTACAGAAGCTTTGAAAAAGCCTCCAGGCCTTCCAACCTACCTGAAAGCTAACTATGGAAAGGAGAACTTTTACATTCTGAATTTGGCCTCTGTACTTTCCACATTTCCTTGGGGGTCTTATCAGTTTAAGTTCAGATTTGCCCCAAAGGGTCTGCTTTTTCCATGAAGGGCTTTAAATCCTGCCGTTCCTTAGCAGTTCATTTGTGATTCCCTGTTTCTTGACACAGCGTTGCAAAAGAAAAAAGAAAAGAAAAAACCCAGCCGATGCAAGGCACAGGTTGCCTGCCTGGGGAAATTGTGTTAAGCACTGAAATGCAATGAAGTCACGGGGAAGAAGCTTGCTTTTAAAGTACAGTTATCCCTCAACTTATGACCAGAACTGAACCTCCAAGTTTACATGGCTAAGCAAGATGGCTGTTAAGTGAGCTTTGTCCCATTCTATGACCTTTCTTGCCACCGTTGTTACGGGAATCACAGCAGTGGTTTACAACATGATTGCTAAACCAACCTTCTATGCATGTCCAATTTCTTAAGTGAGTTGAGAGGGGCTTGCAAAGGATAGCTAATGTTCATCAAAGTGCTAGAATTATGTGCTAAGGGTACACATTTGGATGGCAGATAGAATAAACATGAAGGAGAAGAGGAAGACGGGGGTTAATTTTAGGAGAATTCTAGGCTAGTATTTTCCCTTGACTATGCTTATCAGGTCACAAAACACAATTGTGTGACCCTGGAACATTGCAATGGTCATAAATACATGCCAGTTGCCAAGCACCCGAATTTTGATCAGGTGACCACGGGAAGGCTTGCAACGGCTGTGTGAAAAATGGCCATAATTCCCTTTTTTTCAGTGCCATTGTTAACTTCCAATGGCCACTAAACAAATGATTGTAAATCAAGGACTATGTTCTTTTTAAAAGAAAGGCATGTCTTTACTGAAAACCAGCCATTTGCTTCAAGCACTTTGCCACCTCCAGATCTTAAAAGAAACACAGGGAGAGTGACCGAGGCATTTGAAGTTGACATGTTATAAGAAAGACCAAGTTTGAACGCTTCATGTTTTATTCTTTTCCTCTTTGTTGTACCGAGATGGCTTCCTCTTCCTTCTTCTTTCTCATCCACTCATTTCTTCACGGTTAGATTTAAAGCATCAGGCAATGCAAACCTTCCACTGTAGACCCCAATGGAAGGATGGTGTTCATAGAAAAAGATTTTTTTTTAAGAGGAAAAAAGAAAAGTGTACATACCAAACATCAGCGTTACCAATAAAGAAAGAAAACCAACCTTCTATGCGTGTCCAATTTCTTAAGTGAGTTGAGAGGGGCTTGCAAAGGATAGCGAATGTTAACTGAAGTGCTAGAATTATGTGTGAAGGGTACACATTTGGATTGCAGTCAGAATAAACATAAAGGAGAAGTGGAAGAAGGGGGTTAATTTTAGGAGAAGTCTAAGCTAGTATTTTCCTGTGTGGGGTTTAATTTTGCTTCGTAAAGTCTTACAATCCTTGCCAGGATTCTGATGGGTTTTTTTTCAATGGTGACTGCCTGGGTAAGTCCCTGCAGTTTTCTTGGCAGGGCTTTGGAAGTGGTTTGCCATTGTTTCCTTCCTAGGGCAAGGACAGAGTGCCTGGCCCAAGGTCAGCCAGCTGGCTTTTTGCCTAAGGCAGGACAAGAACTCACAATTTCCTGGTTTCTAGCCTGGTGCTTTCACTACTATACCCAACTGACTCTCCAAAGCCTGAAGTTGGGGCCAATGGTCAAATGCCTTACACCACTGGCAAAATCTTGATTGCAGGAGGTTGTAATTGGCCAAAGGTGGTACAGAATGTTTCAATCGACAGGATACAAAACAAAACCAGCCATGGATTGGCTAGGAGCTGGTTGCTGATTGGATACCAGCTGCTGGGGTGGATGCAAATCCTAATATCAATAGTCTGTAATCATCTACTTCAACCATGTTGTCATGTCTTGCAGTGAAGCCCAAGAAACAAGAATGGCACATGGAGTTACTTAAAAGTAGTGTCTTTTATTGTACTTTACCTCTAAACAGAATCTTGCCAAACTAAAGTCACTATCTGCAGAACTATAAATATATTCTTGAACTATTAAGGGAGGGTTGGTCCTCACCCTCTTCCTGCCTATCAGACGTTCCAAACTCAACTGCTTCTTTTCCCTCTGGGAAGCAGCTGCTTTCTCCCGGGCATCCAGTCTACATTCCACCACACCTGCCTCCATTCAACATCCATCAGGGCTGACTTGCCTCTCTTTCGTTGTTCTACAGAAAGTGAGTTTGTTGCCAATGGCTTGGTTCACTTGCCATCTCCACATGCAGGCTAGGTTTATCTTTCCTGCTGGGGTGCAGATGTTCCACTGTGCTCTTCCTATGAATCAGTAGTCACCAACCAGTGGGCCAGGGACCACTAGTGGGCCGAGAAAATTTTGGTGGTCCGCAGAGAAATGCCACCCCCCAAAGGAATTAATCCAGGCTGCATGGGAACACAAGACTGTGCTGCCCACATGGCCCGTGGGAATACAAGGCTTGCGTCGCTTGCATTGTGAACTTGCATGAGGTAGTGAAGGGAGGGGGGAAAGGGTGGAGGGGGAAATTGCCCCACTCACCCCATGTGCCTCGCCTGGCCACTGGACTGCTTCTTTCCACTTCTTTCTTCCTCTGCTTTTGGCTGCATGCAAGGAAAGCAGCAAAAGTCTTTCTTTCTCTCCCCCAAACTCCGCCAGAAATGAGTCTTTGGGACCCTGCAAGGCCTCCTGCCTCCTGCTCCAAGAGGCTGTGCCAGCATGAAAAGTCTCACAAAGACTCATTTCTGATGTTGTTTGGGGAAGAGAAAGAAAGATTTCTGCTGCTTCTGCTGCTTTCCTTGCATGAAGCCAAAAGTCTCTCTCTCTCTCTCTCTCCCTGAGAACGGAGCTGGAGACGGAATCCTGCGATCCCAAATAAAGATTGATTTGATCGGTAGGAAAATGGGCTGGGGAATTTTCCTGCAGACTTTTTGGGGGATTTTCCCAGGGTCTCTGGTCTGGCGGAATTTAAAATTATGAGTTTGGTGGTCCCTGAGGTCCAAAATGTTGGCGACCCCTGCTATGAATCACTCCAGAAATCGAGAAGTGCAATGATGGGGTGGGGTGGATGGCGAGTTAGTCCACTGTTTATTTACCAGTTCCTGTCAAGGTGCATACTGGCTGTGCCAGGATACTGAAATTGCAACGAATTAATCTGTTTCTTGTTTGATGTCTTGATTTAGAAGGGAAGAATGTTGCTCCTGTACCTCCATCATCTTTAATGCACTGCTCTAAGTGTGTAAGGGGATTAGAAATCTCATCCGATTACTTCCACAGCTCACTACTAGAAGTTTAACCAGTCCTTCTCCTGCGTGGCTCTCAGTCTTAACATTCCCAAAGGTTTTCCAGTATTTATGAAGTTGGTCGAAGTACATCTCTTTTGCCAAGCTTTTCACTGTTAATTACCTTAATGACCGATATTAACATTGGCTTTGATTTTTGTGGATCTTAATTATCTCTCAGTTTATAGTTGGCATTATTATTTTATTGCTAGAAATGTGAATGTTTGGAATAAATCAAAAGGGTCTCCAAACTTGTTGATTTTAAAACTTGTGGACTTCAACTCTCAGAATTTCCCAGCCAACATGGAATTCTGGGAGTTGAAGTCCACAAGTCTTAAAGATAACAAATCTGGAGACCTCTGATCTAACTGAATGTAATTTTCCTGTCCTCAAGCCAAAATCCTTTCCCACTCATCCCCAATTCTTTCCCAACACCCTCCCTACCCTTTTCGTCATGCCAGCCAGAAGAAAGCATATCTAGGACAGCAGGATGAAGAAGCCAAATATCAACTTTCCTACTACCCTTCTCCAAGAAGTCCAATAAAATGGGGCATTGCTTCCAGGAATTCTCCTAAAAGCTTCTCATTGTCCAATTCAATGCCTCAAAGATGTGTTTCCAGAGGGAAGGAAAACCAGCTCGTTCCAGACAATGACTAACCTGTTTGGCTACAAAGAGCCTATTGCTGGAGCCAAGATAAACCTCAACTTTGAAAGAATAATTAATGGTAATAATGCCCCGGCCAAGAATTTGGCAACAGGACAGACATCTTTCTAACTTACGTGGCTCCTTTCTTTAGCAATTTTAGATCTCCTGGATTGTTGCAGTAGGTAAGTAGTTACATTTCAGATCGCCTAGTTTGTCCCACACAGAAATTAACAAGAGCAAAGGCCACAAATGCAATTAAACGTCACTGAATTGTGAGACAAAAATCACCCATTTTGACACCTCTGGAGATTCTCAGTCATCCCAGGTCATAGTTGTCTCAAAGGTGGGTTGTTGTTTTTCTTGTTCAAAAGCCAACTGGACTGTTTTTTCTTTGACCAGAAAACGTTTCGCTTCTCATCCAAGAAGCTTCATTAGTTCTGATGGATAGCCTTCCAATCTCTCCCCTCCTCCCACTGCTGCCATCATAATCGATGAAGCTTCTTGGATGAGGGGCAAAACATCTTCTTCCTCCTCAAGGAAAAAAACAGCGCCTTTTTAATTTAAAAAAAAAAAAAAAAACCACCTTTGAGACACTCACTTTCACATCCTAGTTACATTTCATTTTGTACCCAGCTGTACAAGTATATAAAACTTAGTTTACCTTGCAAAGCTTAAACCTTGCACCAAACAACGTCCCCCACTGGAATTGTGGGTTATTTTTCAGATATTTTCTGAAGTCTCCAAATGATCACCTCCAATCTCTTGGGGATGCTTGAATTTGGATTCCTGCTCTGAGCAACTGTCCCTATAACTTTTTAAAATTCTGCCAACCTACTTGTATATTTCAATGTCAGACTTCAAGGCTTAAAGTCTGCAGCAACAGCCGCCTGTTTCTAAACCCGCCTTCCTTAATCGAGGGTCTAGCAGGAAAGAGGAAAACTACATCTCCCAGAATCCTCAAGTTGCTTTCAGATCAGTTTGACATCCTCTTATCCCATTGTTTGCAGCTCGGTTCACTGGCCCAAGCAAGTAAAATGAGCAAACAATGACATCTGCAGGACTAATGTAAAGATTGCAGCTTTGCTTCCTGGCGACTTGTGGTCACTGGGGGGCAGTGTTCTTCAACCCTGGGAATTTCAAGATAGGCCGAGTTCCTATCTTAAACCAGGGGAATTCTGGGAGTTGAAGTCCACAAGTCTTAAAGTCACCGAGGTTGAAGAACACTGATACAGGGCCATACAGAGATCGTCTCAGCCATTTTGCAAACTGGAGATAAGGCTCTATAAGTTAAGGGTCTCCAACTTTGGTAACTGTAAGACCAGAGGTGGTATTCAGCCAGTTCTGGAGAACCGGTAGTGGAAATTTTAAGTAGTTGGGAGAACCGGCCAATCCCACCTCTGACTGGCCCTGCCAACCCCATCTCTTCTCTGCCTCCCATTGAGTCCCAGCTGAACGGCTGGGTCTTCCTTTGGTTGCCCTGCATAGGAGTACGGAGATGGAAAGTAGGTTAGTGGGATGGGGAGGGAACCTTCCCCTGCCACACCCACCAAGCCATGCCCACCAAGCCATGCCACACCCACCAAGCCACATCCATAGAACTGGTAGTAAAAAAGATTTGAATACCACCACTGTGTAAGACTTGTGGACTTCAACTTTGCAGGATTCCTCAGCCAGCAAGAGACATTATTTTACACATTTAAGACCAAGATGCAACTGATAAAGACTTCGCTTATAAACACTAAGCATTTGAAGGATCACTTTCCATGACATTATTTTAAATATTTAATTGATATTTCCTTCCTCGGGCAGGAAATAACATTCTAGTTTTTATTGTATTGTTTGTTTGTCTAAATGTTTAAATATTATTATTTGATGGCTGAAATGGAAGGTTTCAAGGTTTTCAAATGGCTGTTGCTTCTCCCCCTTTCCATCTCTAGTTAGCTGGAAAACGGAAGATTCCCTTTTAAGTCTTCATTTTTATCCTGTTATATCTGGCGGTGGAGGACTGGCTAGGACTAATTGAGAAAGAAGCGTTGAGGTTGAGATTGGGGGTTTAATTATAGTATCAGGTCAGAATCCATGGTGTCAAAAATGCAAAGTTACGATGTTTCAGTCTACATGAGATATTCCATCCACTCTTGTAAAAGGGCTTTCATATAGGTTTATCAGCCTGAAAACATTGTAACCTTGAGTCTCTCCATCAGTTCGCTCCAAGAGTATGATTTTTAACATGATAAAAAAAGGATGCTTCATTACATCTATTGGAAGTGATCCTA